AGCTAATTTTTGTATTTTTAGTAGAGACGGGGTTTCACCATGTTGTCCAGGCTGGTCTTGAACTCCTGACCTCAAGTGATCAGACCACCTTGGCCTCCCAAAGTACTGGGATTACAGGTGTGAGCCACACCATGCCTGGCAAGATCTTCCTGTTTAAAGTCATCAAAGGTGGTTGTACACGAGAACATGTTTTCTGGAGGATAGCAAATAGGAGGTATTTAAAACCCATCAGATGCCCCCTTCTTCCTTTCTAAATTGTCTAAAGGGGCAGGGAGCTGTGATTAAATTTATAGCGTCATGTGCTGTAATGCAGGAATCTGGCCTGAAAGGTTTTCACCGGCCCTTTGGTAGAACAAATGCTTTGTATTTAGAGCTGGACATGTGGCTGGCCTCAAAAATCAATGCTTGCAAGAAAAGGACAGATGGCAGAGCCTTAAAAGGATGCGTGCAAAGTGAACAAACAGAGCCCCCTAAACGGGCAGTAAGCACCACAGGAGAAATGAGAGGTCCCCACAATTTCATTCCCCCAAAACACAGGAGACAGGATGTGTCACTTCTGGTCACACCAACAGGCCCTCACCGGCCCAGGTGGAAACCAGCCACAACCTTGAGCCTGTCGCTGTGCTTTTGAAAAGGAGAGGCCAATAGTTAACTGGCTGTCCCCAAAAGTCAGCTGGCTGAAACTTCCAGATCCACAGATGAACTGAGCTTCCAGAAGAGGCTGCTCCCCTTCATGGGAACTCAATTTCACCAATTTCTTATCAGAAGAGAAAAGCTACATAATCCAAGCATTTGCTGCGCTCAAGAAACAGCAAACTGTCGAGGGTGGTGAAAGTCAAAGATGAAGAAATTGGCTGAGACTGGAGGAGACTTAAAGAGACCTGACGGTTCTGAGTGCAGCGTGGAATGCAGGATTAGACCTGGGCCAGAAAAACACAGGAATGAGAACGTGATGTCGTTCAAATGAGGGCTGGAGTTAATTGCATTGTATCATTTTAATTCCTTAGTTCAATAATAATTGTACAACTGTTATGAGATGTTAGTATTAGGGGAAGTGAGTGAAGAGTATATAGGAAATCTCTGTACTACTTTTGAAATGTTTCTAGTGAAAAGCTATTTCACTAAAAGTTGAGGCTGGGCAAATTATGGTGGCTCACACCTGTAATCCCAGCACTTTGGGAGGCCGAGGCAGGTGCATCACTTGAGGTCAGGAGTTTGGGACCAGCCTGGCCAACATGGAGAAACCCCATCTCTACTAAAAATACCAAAATTAGCCAGGTGTGGTGATGCAGACCTGTAAACCCAGCTACTTGGGAGGCTAAGGCAGGAGAATCGCTTGAACCCAGGAGGCAGAGTTTACAGTGAGCCAAAATCACAGCCACTGCACTCCAACCAGAGCGACAAGGTGAGACTCTGTCTCAAAGAAAAAAAAAAGTTGAAAAAGGAACAATCGGCCTCCCACCTCCCCACCGAGCATTCAAAGATCAAACCCTGTGCAGAATTCTGCGTTACTCATGGGCGCCTATTTGGGGATGTTTCCTTTTATGTTCAAGTCCTTTCTACTCAAATGCACCATTCAGTGAACATTTTGAATCTGCTCTGTCAGGATCTGTGGCAGGTACTGTGATGAAAAGATGAATAAGTGATTGTCCCTATATTCAAGGAACTTCATAAAGTAGCCAATAGCATGTATTAAGAAAACAGTATGTATTAAGACACGAAACACTAGAGGTCCAGTACCTCAGGCATTTACGCTTTTCTGGAGCCTATAAAACGTATTTTGGAAATTTTTAAATATGTATTTTATTGAGATAGGGTCTTACTCTGTCACCCAGGCTGGAGTGCAGTGGCACGACCTCAGCTCACTGCAGCCTCGACCTCCTAGGCTCAAACAATCCTCCCACCTCAGCCCCTCAAGTAGCTGGGACTACAGGTACACGCCACCATGACCAGCTAATATTTATTTATGGAGATGGAATTTCGCCATGTTGCCCAGGCTGGTCTCAAACTCCTGGGCTCAAGCAATCCACCTGCCTTGACCTCTCAAAGTGCTGGGATTGTAGGTGTGAGCCACCGCACCTGGACAATATATATTAATGGATCTACCGGCCCACCAACTGTTACTAGTCTGCAGCAAAACAGAGAAACTGGGAGTTTGTTTTAGAAATTTTGTAGCAATTTGTCTTTATCTCAACAGCCTGTGTTTCAATTTGAATTCCTCTTTATTGAAATGTTGAACCGGGCATGCCTGTAATCCCAGCACTTTGGGAGGCCGAGGCGGGCAGATCACCTGAGGTCAGGAGTTCAAGACCAGCCTGATCAACATGGAGAAATCCTAACTCTACTGTAAAAACAAAATTAGCTAGACATGGTAGCGCATGTCTATAATCCCATCTGCTCAGGGGGCTGAGGCAGGAGAATAACTTGAACCTGGGAGGCAGAGTTTGTGGTGATTGGAGATCATGCCACTGAACTCCAGCCTAGGCGACAAGAGTGAAACTCTGGCTCCCAAAAAAACAAAATCTTGAATCTAATTTAAATTTAATTTAAAAATGAGGAGCCTGGGCCTGGTGGCTCACACCTGTAATCCGAGCACTTTGGGAGGCCAAGGGAGCAGATCGCCTGAGGTCAGGGGTTCAAGACCAGCCTAGCCAACATGGGGAAACCTCATCTCTACTAAAAATACAAAAATAGTCCAAAAATATGGACAAAAAAATTATATAAGAAGAATCATAAAACTGATGAAATAAATGAAGAAGAACTACATAAGTGGAGAAATATTCCATGTTTACAGATAGGAAGACTTAATACTGTCCCAATGTCAATTCTTTCCAACTTGGTCTATATGTTACCAAAAAGGGGTCCCAATCCAGACCCCAAGAGAGGGTTCTTGGATCTCACACAAGAAAGAAAGAATTTAAAGTCAGTCCATAGAATAAAGCGAAAACAAGTTTATTAAGAAAGTAAAAGAATAGACCAGGTGCAATGACTCATGCCTGTAATCCCAGCACTTTGGGAGGCCAAGGCAGGCAGATCACTTGAGGTCAGGAGTTCGAGACCAGCCTGGCCCATATGGCAAAACCCCGTCTCTACTAAAATTACAAAAATTAATGGGGCATGGTGGTGTGCCCCTGTAATCCCAGCTACTTGGGAGGCTGAGGCACAAGAATCATTTGAACCCAGGAGGCAGAGCCTGCAGTTAGCCAAGACCACACCATTGCACTCCAGCCTCAGAGCAAGATTCTGTCTCCAAAAAAAAGAAGAAGTAATAGAATAAACAATGGCTGCTTCATAAGGAGAGCAGCCCCGAGGGCCACTGGTTGCCCAATTTTATGGTTATGTCTTGATGATATGCTAAGCAAGGAATGGATTATTCATGCCACTCCTTTTTAGACCACATAGGGTAATTTCCTGAAGTTGCCATGTCATCTGTAAACTGTCATGGCATTAGTGGGAGTGTGGCAGTGAAGACGACCAGAGGTCACTCTCGTGGCCATCTTGCTTTTGGTAGGATTTGGCCAGCTTCTTTATTGCAACCTGTTTTATAGGCGAGGTCTTATAACCTGTGTCTTGTGCCGACCTCCTGTCTCATCCTGTGACTTACAATGCCTTAACCTCCTGGGAATGCAGTCCAGTAGGCCTCAGCCTTATTTTATCCAGCCTCTACTCAAGAGGGGATCATTGTTGTTCAAATGCCTCTGATGTTACTATACAATCACGCATGCTCTTGGTATTTACCCACATGGGTTGAAACGCAGAAACCTGCACATGGATTTTTTTTTTTTTTTTTTTTTTTTTTTGAGACAGAGTCTCGCTCTGTTGCCCAGGCTGGAGTGCAGGAGTGCAGTGGTGCAGTCATAGCTCACTGCAGCCTTGACCTCGTGAGCCTTGCACCTCAACCTCCAGAAGCTAGGACTATATGTTTGAGCCGCCATGCCCAGCTAATTTTTCGATTACTTTTGTAGGTCTCACTACATTGCCCCGGCTGGTCTCGAATTCCTTGGCCCAAGTGATCCTCCCGCCTTGGCCTCCCAAAGTCCTGGGATTACAGGCATGAGACACCACACCCGGCCTGCACACAGGTTTTATGACAGCTTTATTCGTAACTGCCAAAACTGAGAAGCAACCCAGATGTCTTTGGATAGGTGACTGGATAAACTGTAATTCATCCAGACAATAGAATATTATTCAGCACTAAAAAGAAATGAGCTATCAAGCCATGAAAAGACATGGAGGAATGTTAAATGCACATTACAAAGTGAAAGAAACCAGTGTGAAAAGGTTACATGCTGTGATTCCAACTGTATGACATTTTAGAAAAGGAAAAACTATGGGTCAAATAACACGATCAATGATTGCCAGGGTTCAGGAAGGAAGGCAGAGATGAACAGATGGAACACAGGATTTCCATGACGCTGAAAGGATTGCTCAATGCATGTGATTAGAAACCTGTCAAAACCTGGCTGAGCGTGGCGGCTCATGCCTGTAATCCCAGCACTTTGGGAGGCCAAGGTGGGCGGGTCACTTGAAGTCAGGAGTTCGAGACCAGTCTGGCCAACGTGGAGAAACCCTGACTCTACTAAAAATACAAAATTAGCTGGGCGTGGTGGCAGACACCAATAATGCCTGTAATCCCAGCTACTCAGGAGGCTGAGACAGATCCATTTCCGGAACCCAGGAGGTGGAGGTTGCAGTGAGCCAAGATCATGCCACTGCACTCCAGCCTGGGCAACAGAGCAAGACTCTGTCTCAAAAAAAAGAACCCTGCAAAACCAAAAATTAACAAGTCTTTAATACATCATGTCAACTTTATTGTTAACCTTACTGTTCGTCAAAATCTCCTTAGATTCAAAGTTTGTAGATTAGTTTTCTTTTCCCTTCAGTAGAATTCCTGAATATGCTTGGAGCTCGCTGAAATATAGGCAGTGGCAATAGGCATATAACTTCAAAAACTAAATTATAAAAATCTTTCAAATACTTTACCTTAGGCTGGGTGCAATGGCTCATATCTGTAATCTCAACACTGTGGGAAGCCGAGACTGGTGGATCATTTGAGGCCAAGAGTTCGAGACCAGCCTGGCCAACACGCTGAAACCCCAAATGTACAAAAAAATACAAAAATTAGCTGTGGGTTTTGGCACACGCCTGTACTCCCAGCTACTCATGAGGCTGAGGCTTGAGAATTGCTTGACCCCAGGAGGCAGAGGTTGCAGTGAGCCAAGATTGCGCTCTTGTCTCCAAAAAAAACCTTTACACCAAAAAATAGAATTATGGCCAGCTGCAGGGGCTCATGCCTATAATCCTGGCACTTTGGGAGGCCAAGGTGGGCGGATCACTTGAGGCAAGGAGTTCAAGACCAGCCTGGCCAATATGACAAAACCCCATCTCTACTAAAAATATAAAAATTAGCCGGCGTGGTGGCACAGGACTGTAGTCCCAGCTACCAGGGAGGCAGAGGCAGGAGAATTGCTTGAATGTGGGAGGTGGAGGTTGCAGTAAGCCAATATTGTACCACTGCACTCCATCCTGGGTGACAGAGCAAGACTGTGTCTCAAAACAAAATTTTTTTTTGGCTGGGCGCGGTGGCTCATGCCTGTAATCCCAGCACTTTGGGAGGCTAAGGCGGGTGAATCACCTGAGGTCGGGAGTTTGAGACCAGCCTGACCAACATAGAGAAACACTGTCTCTACTAAAAATATAAAATTAGCCAGGCGTGGTGGCGCAAGCCTGTAATTTCAGCTACCGGGCGGGGGCTGAGGCAGGAGAATTGCTTGAACCCGGGAGGCGGAGGTTGCAGTGAGCCGAGATCGTGTCTTGCACTCCAGCCTGGTGACAGAGCAAGACTCCTTCTCAAAAAAATAAAAGTAAAATAAAAAATCAAATAATTTAAAATTTTTTAATATACATGTAATTAATGTGAACTGTGGGTGCACTCTAATGTCCAGCATTCTGTCATGTGAGGTGAGAACCCCAAAGGAACAGGCTTCTGGACCACAGAGATTTGAGCACAACCCTAAAGGAAGACGGCAGAAATTGGGAGGAGGGAGCCGCCCCAAGCCCTGTGGGAAGCTGGGCACTTCTCTTCCTTACTTATTCCGTCTTCCGAGCCCTCAGCTCGCTGTCCAGGGAGGGTGAACAAAGCCACTGCCTCTGGCCTTTGTGCTTCACCCCTTCTCCACGAGCAGACGACAAGGAGGAAAGGAAGATTCCACCTGCCAATCTGGAAGCTTCAGAGAGTAATTTGGAAACAGGAGCTTGACATTATGATGAAAATGAGGCTTTTGTTCATTCTTTGTGTCTTTCAGGGCTCCTGGCCACATAAACCTGAGCCCTTCGACAGACAGAGCTTCATTCTCTCATTTGCTACTTTCACCAGCCCCCTAAAGGACAATTGGTTTTCTTTTTTTTTTTTTGAGAATGGAGTTGTGCTGTTCTTGCCCAGGCTGGAGTGCAATGGCACAATCTCGGCTCACCGCAACCTCTGCCTCCTGGGTTCAAGTGATTCTCCTGCCTCAGCCTCCCAAGTAGCTGGGCCACCATGCCTGACTAATTTGACTAATTTTTGTATTTTTAGTAGAGATGGGGTTTCACCACATTGGCCAGGCTAGTCTCGAACTTCTGATCTCAGGTGATCCACCCGCCTCAGCCTCCCAAAGTGCTGGGATTACAGGTATGAGCCACTGCACCCGACCAGTTTTATTTTCTTGATTGTGCAAGATAAGAAAACTAAGTCCTGTTACCCCCCCACCTTTTTTTTGAAGAAACTGGATCTCATTCTGTTGCCCAGGGTGGAGGGCAATGATGATCTTGGCTTACCACAACCTTGACCTCCCAGGCTCAAGTGATCCTCCCACCTCAGCCTCCTAAAGTACTGGGTTTACAGGCATGAGCCACCATGCCTGGCCAAGTCCAGTGACTGTCATATCCCTGTGTGACAGGCAGGGAACTGTCTCAACCCAGCCAGGAGTGAGTGAGTGCGGTGCCTTAGAAGGGAAGAAGACCGACATCTGGGGGCGTGAGCCCATCTTGGCCTTTAGACACTGTGTGACCCTGGCCGAGTCCCTCGACCTCCTGAGGCCTCAGGCTTCGGCCTAAAAAATGCCCCCTCTGGGGTTGTCATGAGGCTCAGACGACTCGAGCCATGTTGGAAAATCAGGAGGAAGCTCTGCAAACGTAAAGCACGGTTTCCAGGCTGGGCGCGGTGGCTCATGCGGTAATCCCAGCACTGTGGGAGGCTGAGGCAGGAAGATTACTTGAGATTAGAAGTTCAGACCAGCCTGGCCAACATGGTGAAACCCCCGTTTCTACTCAAAATATGAAAAAATTATCTGGGCATGGTGGTGCATGCCCGTAATCCCAGCTACTCGGGAGGCTAAAGCAGGAGAATCGCTTGAACCTGGGAGGCGGAGGCTACAGTGAGCCAAGATCACGCCACTGCACTCCAGCCTGGGTGACAGAGTGAGACTCCATCTCAAAAAAAAAAAAAAATTCACAGTTTCTCATATTGGATTCCTGAAGGGGGGCATCCCCATGTCCCTGCTTTTTCTGCCTGACCCTTCACCTTCTTTCTTGTAGAGAGCAGAAAACCAGGGCTCTCCTCTTGAACCTCTGAGAAACCCTGGTCCTGCCCGTCAGGTGCTTTGAGCTAAATAGACTCCATATAGGAAAGGTGGGAAAGCTGACCCAAGCTGGCGGACAGAGAGCCTGCGCGGGAAGGGCGGCTTCAGCAGCACAACCTGTCCTGCCTGTCACCTGCGGGGTGGGTCGGGTGAGCTGGGTAAGAGGAAAACGCTGCAGGAAAGGGCCAGCAGGGACAGGGATCTGAGTGGAAGACAGATGCTGCCCTCCCTGGAAGAGCCACCCGGCTTCCGGGTCCATCAGCCCTCATGTCCAACCTTCCTGTTGGAGCCCCCAGCTCTGAGGCCGTGCTCTGGGTCTCTGTGCAAGCCACTCCTGACAGGTGACTCCTGTCACCTGCCTTCCCCCACAGGCTACTAGGGGCAGCTTGGGGACTGGAGCCCCTCCCCTCCTCGCCTTACCTGTGTGGCCGTTGTTGACCATGGGGAACTCGCCTGCCTGCGACTCGTAGCCTGTCAGGTTGAGCCCCTTCAGGGCGGGGTTGTACCGCACCTTCGTCCTCTGTAGGTCAATGGGTGACTGTCTCCGGCCACCACAGTGGGGGTAGTGCTTCGGCCAGTGCACCTCATCCAGTGCTCCTTCTGAGACGGGAGAGAGACAGTTGAAGGGGCTGCCTGGCCAAGCTCGCTCTGCAGGAACCTCACCACATCAGAGGCTGGGGGGCCTGCTGGGCGGGGGCCCACGGGACACCTTCTAGAAAGCAGAAGCAGGGCCCCCAGAAGGAGGCCAAAACCACAACGACTTCAGCTCCAAGGACTCTGGAGTTTGGGGAGCTTTGGTGCTAACCTCTAACTTTCCTGTGGCAACCACTGGCCCTGGAAACAAGACTCATTGTTTTGAAGTCAATGAAAGCCTTTTTTTTTTTTTTTTTTTTTTTTGGAGACAGGGTCTCGCTCTGTCACCCAAGCTGGAGTGCAGTGGTGTGATCTCAGCTCACTGCAACCTCCACCTCCCGGGTTCAAGCAATTCTCCTGCCTCAGGCTCCCAAGTAGCTGAGACTTACAGGCACATGCCACCACACCTAGCTAACTTCTGTGTTTTTATTAGAGACGGGGTTTCCCCATGTTGCCCAGGCTGGTCTCGAACTCCTAACCTCAGGTGATCTGCCCACCTTGGCCTCCCAGAGTGCTGGGATTATAGGTGCGAGCCACCGCGCCCAAGCTGAGAGAGTTTTAGACATCACTTTTTGCTCTCCTTTGACTTCTTTCCAGCTGACTGATGCACGGAGGGGTCCGTGGCTTGCTGTTCCTGTCCGTGGCTTGCTGTTCCTGTGCCGCTCCAGGAACTCTTCCTCATTCCCTCTCAATGGCCCTGTTGTCTTCCATGCCCCCAACAGGAACACAGGCCCACCTCCCCATGCTGCAGGACCCCCACCACCATTTGCTTGCTCCAGCCCCTTTTATAAATTCCCAGGGTGGCAAAGACCCCCTCGGTGTCTGCACTTACAGATTCAGGGAAACTAAGGAAGCATCAGGTTCCAGGACAACCTAGAGTGAGTACTTTTTAAAAACTTCATAAGGAGAAAGTTTATCTTTTCAGGGAGGGTTGATAATTATAGGGGACAGAGTAACAAAGGTGAGTCATTATCACAGGTGACGGGGCCCCCAAATGGCTGTGGAGGTTGGTGTCAGCTGTGTGACATGGAGAATCCAGCCTCTGTTCCCTGTTCAGGGGGTAGGTGTGTGGTGAGTACACAGCTTGGTTTTCTTTGTTTTTTGTTTTTTGGGTTTTATTTTTTTTTGAGACCAAGTCTCTCCCTGTTGCCCAGGCTGGAGTGCAATGGCGCGATCTCGGCTCACTGCAACCTCTGCCTCCCAAGTTCAAGCGATTCTCCTGCTTCAGCCTCTCGAGTAGCTGGGAGTATGGCATATGCCACCATGCCTGGCTAATTTTTTCTAGTTTAGTAGAGACGAGGTTTTACCTACACTGGCCAGGCTGGTCTCGAACTCCTGACCTCGTTATCCACCTATCCCAAAGTGCTGGGATTACAGGCATGAGCCACCTCACCCAGCCCACAGCTTGTTTTAAGGAAAGTGTTTGTACTGGGGCCTATCACAGCTTTTTGGTTTGTAATCAAGGCAATCTAGCACAAGGCCTTCTCGGAGCAAGATGCCCAGGACGCTGTCAATACCGGGCCATCTCTCAGGAATTCCTGGAAGGCATTTACAGAAGCTACTCCCAAGTTCTCCCGGCCCCCAGTGCCTTTCCAGGAAGCCTCAGTGCCTTTCCAGGAAGCCCCACTGCCTCAGAGGCTGGGCAGAGCCTGGGGAGGACAGAGCCTTCATTTTCTGAATTCTCTCTTCCTTCACCTCTGAACCACCTCCTGGCACTGCTTGGCCAAAGGAAGCAAAACGTCCTGGGCTCCCAAGGCACTGCCAGGTGTGTAAGATCGCTGTGCTCGGGAACGGAGTGGTTGGTTGGAGCTGGCTGGACTTTCTGAACTTCCCAGGACGTTCCTAATTTCGTTGCCCTTGACTTAACGTAACATCCTGTCCACCCTGAAGGAATGGTCCCTGAGCAGCTGAGCTGGGGAAGACTCTGCAGGACGCAAATGTTTGTCTCACCTCCTGCATCAGCCAGCAGCCGCCAGCCTCCTCATGGGCCCCAATCCGTGGTCCTATACAGCAGGGAGGGGACGGGGGAAGAAGGGGAAGAGGGGACGCTGCCCCTGGAAAGGGCTGTTTAGTGTCCACAAACCTTACAGACACGCATTCTAGCTTTGGCTCACATGTGGACCAGAACCCATGCTCTAAATGCCAGAATTTTACATTTCACATTTTAAAAGTCTGGTTTGGGGCCAGGGGCGATGGCTCATGCCTGTAATCCCAGCACTTTGGGAGACCAAGGTGGGCTGATCACTTGAGGCCAGAAGTTTGAGACCAGCCTGGCCAACGTGGTAAAACCCCATTTCTACTAAAAATACAAAAATTATCTGGGCATGGTGACAAGTGCCTGTAATTCCAGAGACTTAGGAGGCTGAGGCACAAGAATTGCTTGAACCCGGGAGGCAGAGGTTGCAGTGAGCTGAGATGGCACCACTGCACTCCAGCCTGGGCAACAGAGCAAGACTCTGTCTCAAAAAAAAAAAAAAAAAAAGTCTGGTTTTGCCAGACACGGTGGCTTACACCTGTAATCCCAGCACTTTGGGAGACCGAGGCAGGTGGATCATCAGGTCAGGCGTTCAAAACCAGCCTGGCCAACATGGTGAAAGCCCGTCTCTACTAAAATACAAAAAAATTAGCTGGGCACGGTGGTGCACGCCTATAATCCCAGCTACTCAGGAGGCTGAGGCAGGAGAATTGCTTGAACCAGGGAGGCAGAGGTTGCAGTGAGCCGAGATCATGCCACTGTACTCCAGCCTGGGCAACAGAGATTTCGTCTCAAAAAAAAAAAAGAAGTCTGGTTCTGGCAGCCCACAGACCATCTAAAGGAAACATCTTATCTCAAGACGTTCTAGGTAAACTGCCTACCATGAAATTTCCAGGAAAGAAGGTCTCGCAAACCCTGCAGCAACTTCCGTGAGGTTACGGAGAGTCCTTTCTAAGAAATTTATTTTCCATTTACATGGACCAACAGAGTAAATGATTTTATAAAGAGAAGCAGTGAGAGGGCTTTCGAACCAGCCAACATCGTGTGTGGAAAAGAATTTAAAGCAAAAAAGCCTGAAAGTAAGTCAGGAGTCGGTGAAGGGGGAAAGCTATTTCATCCTTTTCCTTATTTGAAATTGAAGTTCAGCTTGTTCTCCATATCTCTGAGACACCAAAAAGGTAACACCTGAAGCCACAATGAGCAGACCCCAACAGATGGCATGTGGGCTGCCTGGCCATCCTGGGAAGTGCCCCCTCATGGAGGACTCTTGGCTGTTCACACCTGTAATCCCAGCACTTTGGGAGGCCGAGGCAGGCGGATCACCTAAGGTCAGGAATTCGAGACCGGCCTGGGCAACATAGTGAAATCCGTCTCTACTAAAAGTACAAAAGTTAGTCGGGTGTGGTGGCATGCATCTGTAGTCCCAGCTCTTCAGGAGGCTGAGGCAGGAGAATCACTTGAACCCAGGAAGTGGAGGTTGCGTGAGCCAAGATCATGCTACTGCACTCTAGCCTGGGCGACAGAGCGGCTCCAAAAAAAGCAGCGGGGGGTGCTTGTCCTGTCATGAGGGTAACTGAGGGAGCATGCAGGAATCAGGGGCTTACCTGAGTAGGTCCAATCGGACCCATGCTGTGCCTGGCCACCCAGCAGGAACAGGGACAGCAGAGGCACCAGGGCCCTCATGGTGCTGCACATCTGGAGTGAAGACTGATTCTGGCAAAGTTCTTCTTTTAAAGGCTCAGAAGCTGTAAATAACAATTTACTACATCTAGCTGGCTGATCCGCCCTTTGCTGCACCCACTAAAACAATAACACCCTCCCCACAACAGCCCTCTGGCTCCGAGCATTGGGCCAGGTGGCCCCAGCACCTGCCTCATCTCCCATGTCAATTTCATATCCAATCAGTCCATGGGTTTGGTCATTCAGTGTTTTAGGAGAGTCACCTGACGGGCCACACAGTGCAGCCATTGTGGACGGGCGACCACAGAAATGCGAAAAGGCCCGAGGCAGGGAGAAGCAGGGTGCAGGACTTCCCTGGACAGTCTTCTGTGCCCTTTCTCCTGACGTAAGCGATCTGGAAACTGCTGACGGGATCACCACTGCCTGCAAACCCTGCAGGAACCCTCTTGGTATTTCCTGCCTGTGTCAGTCATGGACACATGGCAGGCACCTGAGGAGACTGCCTGGCCTCCACAGTCGGCCATTTCATTTGCCTCTGCTCAAACCAGCAGTTGATCCTGGGTCCCAGATCATGAACCACATTCCAATGCACACCTTGAGGCCGCGTGAGCCGGTGTGGGCGTCTGCCTTTCTGCATGGATTTGTTCTCACAGCTGCAGGGCACTTGGGCACACCTAAACCAAGCAGCCATGCGCCCTCACAGGATCCATGGATTACCTAATCCTGTGCATCCACTTGGCTAGACAGTCCCTGAAATTAGCCGGAGAAACTTTTGAGTTTATGCCTGCCGACAGCCCAGCATTTCCCATGTCCTTCCTCGAGGTCCAACACAGAGGGCAGGCGTGCTGCCAGACACAAAGGGCCACCCCCGCCTTATGGAGGGGAGCTGAACCCCTCCTGGCCTATCTTAACTCATTGTCCACTTGTCCCTGGAATGGCAAATGGCAGCAGGCCTTCACAACAAGGATGTTAACTGCGAACCTAGGCTCTCCTGAATATTTTAAAGGCTCCCCCCTGGCATTTAATAGAGAACATCAGCTGCTGCAAAGAACTTGCTGGAAACTTCCATCTGTCAAGCTCAAGAGCTGCAAGAATCTCAGAGAGCAAAGCATGGTCAAGGGCAAGGATTCTGAAACCAGACAGGGTCGTGCCACCTGCTAGCTATGTGACCTTGGCCAGGTTCCTCAGTGCTCTATGCCTCCGCTTTCCTTTCTTTTCTCTTTTCTTTCTTTCTTTCTTTTTTTTTTTTTTTTTGAGATGGAGTTTCGCTCTTGTTACCC